TCTCGATCGATTCGATAGACGACGATAAACAAATACACGACATAATAATACGTATAAAATTCACACAATATTTATTAATAAATAACATTTAAACACATAATAATTTAATAATAATAAGCAATTTATAACACTTAGACAAATAATAAGAAGAATAATAGTAATAATAACAACAACAATATTCAAATAGACAAATACTAATAATAATAATAATAATAATAATAATAATAATAATAATAAAGACAATTAATATTAGCAATAATCAATAATTATTTCCAAATAATCTACAATCGAACGGGGTATTACAAAAATGATGGGTCTCTTCCCAGATCTGGAACGAACCGGTGAAAATAGGCTCAGATCTGGAACAAACCGATGAGAATGGGCTCAAATCTGTCGTTGTTCCCTTCAAACTGCTACTGGTCCACAAGATAACCTGCAAGAACTCTGTAACGCAAAATTTCGTTTTATTGATTTTATAAACACGAGAAATTCGTACAAATTATTTTAAATGGATCAAATGAAATATAGTGGATTACAAATCTCTATTATTCCTCTGATTAATTTCTTCAAGAACAATCTTCAAATGGATTTGAGACTTTTGGAGACGAATCCTCAGTTTGATCTCCGTCAGTCTTGAATTTGGATTTGAATAACGTTTCTTCGAGGGCTTGACAACTTGATCTCGAATCGAACGCCGTGATTTCCCAAGAACGTGAAGAACACGAATCCTTGGTCTTCACTGCAAAGTTGATTTTGATCTTCTCTACGCCGGTCTTGACTTGAATAACGTAATTCGGAGGCTTGACAGCTTGTTTCCGGATTAAACGTCGGTTTTTGGCTTGAATGCGCTTGAATCTTCCTTCGGGTCTTCAAGAACACCTTTGAATCTTCAAAACACTTGAACTTTAATAACGCAATTCGGATGCTTGGCAGCTTGTTTCCGGATTGAACGTCGGTTTTGAACTTGAACGTGCTTGAATCTTCCTTCAAATCTTCAAGAACGCCTTTGGATCTTCAAGAACACTTGAATTTTGAGGAGAGAATTCTCTAGAGCTCTTGAACTTGGAACTTGAATATGAATTGTGTTTTTTTCACCTTAGGGAGGGTCCCTATTTATAGGTGTTAGGAGAGAGAGTCTTGGAAAAGAAGACTTCAATTTGATTGGTCCATAATTTCCAATATTTATCGCTTAATAATTATTTAAAGAGATAATTAGGAGAGAGAGTCTAAAAAAAGAAGACTTCAATTTGATTGGTCCATGAATTTCTATTTATTTATCTCTTTAATAATTATTAAAAGAAATAAATATTTATTTTTTTACTCTCCAAGAAAATGACATGTGGCATTCTTTAATTGGCCTTAAAAATATATATGTGGCATTCTTTAATTGGCCAACAATATATATTAAATAATCAATTAATTAACTATTTAATTTAGGAATTAAAATTTGATTGATTTCCCAAATAAAATAGAAAATTATTAAATTGACTATGACATGGATTATGACACTTGTCGCCATTTTATTGGCTCAAAATTTAAGTGCCTACAAACTCAACGCCAGAGGGGATGGCTATATCAAAGACAATAACAATTATGAATTAAAG